TGTTTCTTCCTCTCCCTCTCTTTCTTCTCCCCTGCTGCTCCTGTCCCCAGAGGCTGGTCTCCCCATCCCCTTTACCCCTTTTACGATCCCTTTCTCTAATTAAAAAAACTTTGCTTAAACACTGTAGCACGGTGTCTTTCTCTCATGCACCCACTTTTCTTAAATTATACCAATGGTGTCTCATCACAGCAATAGAAACCCTAATAGAACAGTAATCAAGACTCAAAATCAAGGAATCCAGCCCAAATTTATTCTCCTATCACCCGCATTTTCTTTGCTGATACATGTTTTGTCTAAGGATAATATTTTTAATAAATGAGTGCTGAAAGTTGGTACATGCCTTTAATTCCAGCAATCAAGAGACAGAGATAAGTGTATCTTTTTGAGTTTGAGGCCAGGCTCAGGACATCCAGGGCTACATAGAGACCTTGTCTCAAAAAAAAAAAAAAAAAGGTTCAAAGGATCACATAGTGAGCTATCACTCTCAGCATGCGCTTCATCTATCTTTTCTAGCTTGAGAACTCAATTTTACACTAAGAAGCTGCTCCTAGAATTTATCACATAATAATGTACTGTTTTTCATCACACTTCAGCTAGAGCAGCAATATTCCCAACTTTCCAACTCAGTATATTAAATCACATTTATATTAGATATATCAAATTTTATAAAGTATCTGTAAGTTAAACTATCCTACACATTTTTAAAATACAATTATCTTTTCCAGTAATTTATAGCCTTGCTAGAAATATGCTAAATTAATCATGTAAGTTTATATGTCAGTAGTTCTCAAAATCTTTTCTTAAATTGATCTGATATATTCTCAAGTATGTTAGGAGTAGAGTTCTAGTATAAAGTATGAGGGTCCTACTGGATAAGGGAAAAGAGGAATAATCCACATGTCAAGAAATAAAGTGAATGCAAGAAAACACAGTGTTTCTCCAAGTATTTCTAACTCACACTATGCCAACTTATGAGCCACACAATTTTTACCAATGGTTTTCTTCACCTATCAGTTGACTAATAAATAGTGAGGTCTGTTCTGAAACTTCCAAATCATTAACTGTCCCTTGCTTTCACTGAATAGTTCCCAACATTGTCTGAATGAAGTATCTACCTTCGGTACTGCTGTCTGGAGATTTCATCACCACCAAAGAAGTATACACTTAGCAGTTCTGTTGCAGGATTTTTGTCATTCTTTCTGATTGATGGATTGTATATTAAAGTAATATCCTGATACAAAAACAAGAAAACCAGGAGTATGAATATTCAGTATTTTTTCTCAGCAAGCCATCTCACTCTGAATGAACAGTCCTGCAATACTACATAGAACACAGACACAAGAACCAGTCACTGGAAGGCAGAGGCAAGGAGATCTCTGTACAAGGCCAGCCTGGCAACAGTTCCAGAACAGCCAGGGCTACACAGAGAAACCCTGTCTTGAAACAAAAACAAACAAACAAACAAACAAACAAAAAATGTACAGCTCTTTCAGAACAACAAGGTAAGTACATCTATCCCATACTCCTTTCCAAACCGATTTTAGCTCTTAGCCATAAAATATATAATTAATATTAATCAAAACATAACTACTTTTAAGGGCAGAGATTTTATACTTACTTCTTGGGTTCTTTCCTTAAGCACAAATTTATCTGGAAAAATCCTCAATACTTTAGGATCCAGCAAAACTTTTCTTTGACAATCTTTAAAACATACTGCTTTAACAAAGGCTGCTCTGGAGCCAGTGTTTCGAATAGAAAAAATAACTTTACTTTCTTTGCCAGGAACTAAGTCATTCACTGTTACCAAGTAACTGTCAGATAACTTTTTAACATCTTCTAAAATAAGATTACTTGTTCCTCCATATCCAGACAAAGGTATCTAAAAAACAAAAAAAAGAAGAAGAAAGAAAGAACGAAAGAAAAAAATACACATCCAAAATAGTTTTTATATAAGAAAGCAGAAAATTTATTACAGTCAGAAGAAAACAGATTTAATACAATTAAAGTTTTAGGGTTTGTATCCTTGGGCTAGCAATTACAAACTTCTAGTCTACCATATTTATTATACTATATTATATATTTGTTTGGATATATTATATATGTAGCACTTCCAAGCTGCATACCTTCTGACTATGTAAAGAACAACTGTTTCATACACACTGAACTGAAATCTGGAATTTAGCTGCAGAGAGGGAGGAATGAAGAGCAAAGGGGTCTGTACCAGGCTGGTGAAACCCACAGAAACAGCTGGCCTGAACAAGGGGGAGCACATCGACCCCAGATGCTGTCTGGGAGGCCAGCACAGGACTGATCCAGACCCTAGAACATGGATGTCAAAGAGGAGGCCTCTGCACTCTAGGGGGCCCCTGGTGGTGGATTAGTATTTTTCCCTGATGGAAGAAGGGTCTTTGAGAGCCCATCCCACCTGAAGGGATGCACTCTTGCCCTGGTCACATGGGGAAGGGCCTAGGGGGGGTGAGGGGAGGGAGAGGGAGAGGGAGAAGAGATTGACATGTGAAACAAGCTTGTTCCTAATTTGAACTAATAAAAAAAAAAAAAGGTAGAGAACTACAGACCACAAAAAAAAAGAACAACTGTTTCCTGTTGCATAAGCCAAGCTTAACCAAAATACAATAAAAACTAGTATAGCTACACTTGCATATATTTGTAATGTGAAACATAAGATTGTAATTAATTTATTTTGAAATGCCTAAAAACATAGATACACTAGTTGGTGGTCAGCTATGTGGTAAGAGAAATATACCAAAACATGAATTGTAGAATCTAAGTAGTATTTTTTCAACTTTCAGCAATTTGGAAAAATTTTCATAACAATACTTTAGGAGAAAAAAAAGCCTACTATCTCACAGTCTTTTAGCAGGGTTATTGTTAGAGAGAAGACTGCAAACAGGAATACACTGAGGACCAGTACTCAAAACTCCATGCACAAGCAAGCTAGGGTTTGGAAGCCTGAGACTGAAGCCAGGTCTGATATCCTTGCTGCAGTTTTTACAGGTGTTGGAGCCTTTCAAAAAAAGAAAGAAAGAAAAAGAAAGAAAGAAAGGAAGGAAGGAAGGAAGGAAGGAAGGAAGGAAGGAAGGAAGGAAGGAGAGCTCACAGATACCTCCATTATAATAAAAAAAAGAAAAAACCTTTGCCAGGCGGGTGGTGATACACACCTTTAATCCCAGCACTCAGAGGCAGGCGGATCTCTGTGAGTTCAAGGCCAGCCTGATCTACAAAGATACACAGAGAAACCCTGTCTCAAATAAACCAAACAAAATTTTGTCTCTGTAGACCCAGTATTGGGAACACAATCTAGAAAATTGTATGAAGAGATATTTGATCAAGTCTGAATGTTGGTGTCTCACAAAATCCATATGCCAAAATAATCCCCAACATAACAGCATTAGGAACCAGGATTTAGAGGAAATGCTGAAGTCATGACAACCCTGCTTTCAAAAGTTGAATTAGTGTGCTTAGGAAAGGGGAGAGGAGGGGAGGGGCTAGAGAGATGGCTCAGTAGTTAAGAACACTGGCTGCTCTTCCAGAGGTCCCGAGTTTAACTCCCAGCAATGACATAGTGACTAACAACCATCCATAACAAAATCTGATGCCCTCCTCTGGCCTGCAGGCATACATGCAAGCTGAACATTGTACACATAATAAATAAATAAATAAATCTTTAAAAAGGTGAGGGGAATTCATCACTCTTACCCCAAGTGAAGAACATGGCAAAAACAAGTGTCATGTTGAAACAGAGTGCATCTCCTTGCTAGACAGTGAATTTGCTGACACATCAATTTAGGGCATCCAGCTTGAGAATTAAGAGCATAACTGTTTAAAAATTAACCAGTGTGGGGTTGGAGAGATGGCTCAGGAGTTAAGAGCACTAGAAAGGTTCAATTCCCAGTACCCACAAGGCATCTTACAATAGTCTGTAACTCTAGTTCCAGGGGATCTGACACCCTTTTCTGGTATCCATGGGCACCAGACACACATGTGGTACAGAGACATAAAGACAAAATGCTCCTACAGAAAAAATAATTATCTAGCTTGTGGTATCTGTTGCTTACAATGGACTGCTCTGATTCACCCAAAATGTGCTTATGTTAGGTATGTTTCAAATTTCTCAAGGTGAAATGAAAATTCAAGGTGGTTGTAAGAATCTCACAATGGTTGCTTTTAATGACTTGATAATTATCCTATAATTTGTTTATAAGGTCTATAACTTAGAAAAAACAGAATACATGATCTATCAATATTAAAGGAATGGCTATAAAAAAAATGGCTATGAAAAAAAAGCAGTGAACTTCTCTTACCATAAACTTAACGCCTGGCTGTGAACGATCTCCAAGTTGTTTGATTTCTAGTTTAGCCAACATACAAGATAATCGAGTAGGTGCAAATAACACAGAAATTACACAGTCCTCTCCTGGGCAAATTCTGATCTCACAGTTACTGGTCAATCTCTCTTCTGAGCCAAAAGTGTTCTTAATCTACAATTTAAAAACAACCACTATATAAACACAAATACCAGCACAAATGAAACACACATTAACACAAACTCTTACAGTTAGTCTTGGAGGCTGAAAGATGGCTCAGCAATTAAGAGCATTGCTCTTGCAGGGGACCCAGGTTAAGTTCCCAGTGCCTACATGGCACTCACAAGCATCTGTAACTCCAGTCCCAGAGAATCTGACACCTTCTTCTGAAATCTATGGGCATGCACATGTTGCATAAACATACATGCAGGCAAATACTCATACGCATAAAACAAAAATTTAAAAATCTTTAAAACCTACAAACAAAAATTAG